TTGTTGGCCGACGATGTGTGTGACGCAGTTCGAGGACTTGACGCAGAGTGAAGATTTGGTCGATGCACCCGCGACCTGGTCAGAATCCTGCTTGTTGTTCGCGGATATTAATGCGTGGTCAGTGGTTGTACAAACTGAAACTGAAACTCAATAGACGTCGAACGAGAGAGTAGCGCATCATTCCAGTTGGGTTATAAAATCTGCAGCAATCGATAGTGTGTAGTTTTTTAAGATGAGCAGCATAACCAAATGCGGTCGCTCACTAGAGCAAATGGTCGACCTGCATAGATTACGTTGGTTGGGACATGTGTTACGCAATGTCACCTAGTAGGTTGCCACGGCAAGCGATGTTTGCCGAGGCACGTATTGGGTGGAATAAAGCCAAGGGCGGTCAAGCTAAGACCTGGAATGAGGGTATGAAAACCCTAACCAGAGTTAGACTCCCTGAATGGGGACCTCAAGATAATCGTACCCGATGGTTAGAGACACTGAGTGATATGGCTCAGTATCGTAAATAGTGGCATTCGTGGATCTTGTCAATTTCTCTGCAACAATGAAATTCTAAATTTTCTCTTTGATCTTACTTTCAACCTTTCCTGTCCTTTTTCTAATGCTTCATCCGAATGGGCAGTCACAAGACAACAACCAAAATCGGCGCACAATAGTGCACGATTAATGGTTGTACAATTTGAAACTGAAGCATGCCCAATTCTGGTAAAACAATGAAAGACTCAAATTTAACGTTTGGTTAACTGCATCAGAAATGAACCAGTCGGAGTGAATTATCTATTGTTTTGTGGATCACACAGAACATCCACAGGATCTTCGTGCAAATTTGTTTTTTCGCTGTGCATAAACATCTAACCATTACAAACTTGGTATGGTGCCTTCAAGGTCCATCGATTTTAAAATGTGGGCCAGACCAGCTAGTATGTATCTTCTGTCCACACTGGTTCTCTAGACTCACTTGATTTCTACAGTTAGATAATACCAACATTCTACTTCTCCGGACCCGTTGTGTGTGAACACCACAACAATAACAACAACAACAAAAAAAAAACGGGAGCACACAGCCACTTACTTCGGTGGATAGTCCAGTTGCATTGGCTTGTCGTTTGGTCGCATTGATTTCCGCTTCCAATCGCCGAACTTGTGCCTGAGCCTGTTTCAATTGCTGTTGAAGCTGGATTGAGGTTTGTGGAAGATACACGGCCGGTTGAGCGGATCCGTCCGTCAGAGACATCCCAGTCAACCCGGTCGTGGAGATTGGCGGGGGCGGTGGAGGTAACGGGGCGGTTTGCAGTGTGGTATGTGTGATACTGTTCATGGAGGACATGGACGATAGGCCACCAACACCGAGAGCATTCATGGAACCGGAGCCAGATCCGTTGGGAATTGTAACGTGACCGGGATCCGACTAACGAGACGAATTTATTGGGAACGAGAGAATGTGGAAGAATGAGTGAGCAAAAATTAAACGGGATTGAAATCAACAAATGTGCATAATAGTCATCATTGTATGCATGTGATGCAATAAAAAAAATAAAAACTAATTAATTTACAACAAAAATACAAGGCCAATTTGACATGTCATTTAAACCAGCAATGCATCACACCTGTCTGGTATTAAATCAATACAGAACGACACTAACCTGTTTTTTTTTATTTCATCCTTTTGGGAACATAGTCTATGCGTGATCGGACTTTGTACGTGTGTGCTGCCTTGCGGATCAGACTTTTGAGTCAAACGCTCTGATCGGAATTCCCAAAGTTTCGTAGCTGTACAATACACCTGGCGTGCTAAACGTACGCATATTCCGGTAGAGGATTGAGAATGATCGATCAAAAGTAAAATTCTTCACCTTAACTGTCTTTTCCATAATCAGTACAATTTTTATTATGTATTCCCCAAGAATCTACTTTCATCGTCGATTTTTCATTTCTAAGAAATAACAACAAAAACTATCCAAACATGTCCGCATATGGTCTATTCGTACCATTTCAGATTGTATCATTATTAGTGTACAAATCGGAGCTTACTGCTAGACTGACACCGGTTGTGACCCGGCCGAATAGATAGCTATAACCATAAGGCTGTGAAATACAAAAGACAAATATGAGCAAATAAAAGCGAACACGCATTGAGAAGATTCTATCACCTGGGTTACTATCTGTAGACACACACACACATACACACACAAAGGAGTCTGAAAGACTGTATTCACCACACCTCATTCGTGTATCTATATCTCGGCCATACACATATACGCCAGTCCGAGTGAAATAGCTGGGCACACACGCACACACCAGGTCGTACACAGACACACGCACACAGAAAGTGAACTGTGAACACACAGATGTCAGTCGGAATAGACGTAGTAGTAATACTTGTATGATAATGAGCCAAGAATGGCTTCTACGGACGTCTGGGACTGAGTATCATGTAATAATAGGAGTAGTTGTTTATATATACAAGTGCATTTGTGTGCGCGCATGGCGCAATCCCAATACAGTGAAGTGCCAAAAACAGGGACAACCGCTTGCGACGATAATGTCAGGAACATGTGGCTGATAAAAAAAAATTAATGCACAAACAGCTGAACATGTCTCGTGGTGAATGCCGAGTCCGTACAACCGAAGAAGGGAGAAAAACAACCGATTTTTGCTATTATTATTATTATTTGATAATGTTTTTACTTCCTATTTCGTTTATTGACTATAGAAATGTACAATAAACTTTGGCCTCCAAAAGCCTCTCAGTATGGGCGGCGGGGGGGGGGGTTGCTAGGGTTGCGGCTGATCACCCATCCCTTGCAACTCGCAAAATGCTCCTCCCGTGCAACCAACCGTCTCAAATAGCCTCTG